GCTGCCCGTTTTACGTCAGGGGTTCCAAGTGACTGGTGCTCTTTGTTCTGCTGTAACCAACTCTTATGTCTTGGTGATGTTTCATTTCTACCCTCCACAAACACAGGGGAGAGTAAGGAGCAGGTTGCCAACTCAGCCTTTGTGGAGCGTGTGCGGAAGCGTGGCTTTGAGGTGGTGTACATGACAGAACCCATTGACGAGTACTGTGTGCAGCAGCTCAAGGAGTTTGATGGCAAAACCCTGGTATCAGTAACCAAAGAGGGGCTGGAGCTGCCTGAGGATGAGGAGGAGAAAAAGAAGATGGAGGAGAGCAAGGCCAAGTTCGAGAACCTCTGCAAACTGATGAAGGAGATCCTGGACAAGAAGGTGGAGAAGGTGAGATGGGCAGGGAGCTCAGCCCTGGGCTGGAGGGAGGGGGTCCTCTGTGCTGCAGGCAAGGGCCCCAGCTCAATGCATGCCTCTCATCTCCTGCAGAGGAGCCGCTAAAGGAGTCTGGAGGTCCCAGCATGCACCGTCTTGCTCTAAGCAACCAGGCTGCAGGTGAGGGGCACTGACCCAAATACGTGCATTGATAGGAGAGGGTAAGTGTGGGAAACATGCAGTGGGTGCTCAAAATCCTGGCCGAGCTGTCCAAACTAGTCTGTGCAGCAGTCCTGGAACTGCTTGGAAGATCTCTGCTTGCTTTGGGGTGTCCCCAGGTGAACTTGGGACAAGGACTTTAAGCTATCATGTGTGCCGTGGCTGGGCCTAGTCCAGGCCATACGGAGACCTTGCTTGGCTAACCCTCAACTATGTTGACAGGTCACGGTCTCAAACCGGTTGGTCTCCTCTCCCTGCTGCATCGTCACCAGCACCTACGGCTGGACAGCCAACATGGAGCGCATCATGAAGGCTCAGGCGCTGCGGGACAACTCTACTATGGGATATATGATGGCCAAGAAGCACCTGGAGATCAACCCTGACCATCCGATTGTGGAAACCCTCCGCCAGAAGGCTGATGCTGACAAGAACGACAAAGCTGTCAAAGATCTGGTGGTGCTACTCTTCGAGACTGCTCTGCTGTCCTCTGGTTTCTCCCTGGAAGATCCCCAGACCCACTCCAACCGCATCTACAGGATGATCAAACTGGGCCTTGGTAAATATCCATGCAGCTTCTCAGGTCTGGAGCAGGCCCTGAAGGCAGGCTAACTGATCGGGCTAGTTGTAACTGTCTTGGGGCCGGGGGAGGCCCATAAGTGAGCCATGCTGGTGTGATGTGCAGAACTGGCTGTGTACCTAAGGTGGCCAGGGGTAAGTGGAAGCATTAAACAAGGTAATTCAGGACAACTCAGGGCACTGAGTGGACTGTCCTGTCTTCCACAAGGCCAGGACCCACCACCAGGCTGTTCAGATCACAAGCTGAGCCTTTTTATTTCTTCAGAACGAATGTCAAAAGTCTGTCATGGATGATGTAACCCATCTGGTAAAACAGTTTGTGCTTGTACCCAGCCTTTTTCTCCAAGTTTGCTATTTAGCTAAAAATGTAAATCAGAAGTGCTGTGCCTTGGCACAGCTAAGGTGTTAACTCTTTGCTGCCTGTTCTCAGCAGGAGTAGGGTCTTGTATTACTCAAACTGCAGCTAGGAAGTCTGTATGGTAGTACAACTTTCTGTTCAGAGTAAACTGAAATACCTGCAGTGTTGGAAACTAAGTAGCTTTAGAGTCTTGCAACTGCTTTACTTGTGACTACTGGATTTACTGTGTTTGTCTTGAGAGAAATGCTCATGTCTTAAACCACATTCACTTCAGGGTTTTGTGGCGCTGGGTGACAAGTCTTTTGTCGTTAACCTCTACTGGCTAAGGAGTACCCTCCAATGGCATATATATCCATATATTAGTGCAGATGTTACTGGGAACATGATATAGGATTAGTGCTGTAGTTGACAATAACTCCTAATAATACTGACTTGTGTTCTATTAGTTTTCAGTCTGGAGGAGACTGAGGTAAGATCTCATTGCAGGCTGCAGCTTCCTCACAAGGGGAAGAAGAGGGGCAGGCACTGATCTCTTCTCTGGTGACCCATGATAGGACCTGAGGGAGTGTCATGAAGCTGTGTCATAGCAGATTTAGGTTAGATGGGAGGAAAAGGTTTTTCACCCTGAGTATGGTTTGGCACTGGAACAGGTTCCCCAGGGAAGCGGACACAGCAGCAAGCCTGACAGAGTTCAGGAAGCATTTGGACAATACTCTTAGGCACATAGTGTGACTCCTGGAGATGGTCCTGTGCAGGGCCAGGATGATCCTTGTGGGTCCCTTCCAACTCAGGACATTCTGTGATTTCTGTGAACTACTGGATGGTAATAGCCCTGTTCTTCAGGCTGTGGGCAGGAGACAGGTTTGCTCTGGGAGAGGCTGTTCTTCTGGGATCAGGTAGCACTTGGAGGCCTCATCTCTTCCTTTCTTTCCGTTCTCCCAGGCATTGATGAAGATGAGGTGACTGTAGAGGAGCCCAGTGCAGCTGTCCCTGAGGAAATCCCCCCTCTGGAGGGAGATGAAGATGCATCCCGCATGGAAGAGGTAGACTAAAGAAGGAGAAAGGCTCTTCCCTCATCTGCCAGACCTCTGCCCTATATCATGTCTGCTTAGAAGGGGGTCTGCTCCCACCAGCTGCTACTGACTCCATGGTGGTGTCTGTTTTTTTGGCTATGTTTGGTTGGGGTTGTTTTTGGCAGGGTGCAGGAGGGTATGATTTCCTGTTTGTTTGTAGTGCGTGATTCAGGTAGCCCGAGCCTGTCCTCTGTCTTTCTGCTTGTGTAGGAACAGCTGCTGATGGGGAGTGGAGGTAAGGAAGCATCAGGCTTCCTTTTTTAGCCCCTCATGGGGTATCCCATGTTACCAGTAGGCATCAAACACTGCCCTTGTTCCATTGGGTTGGGAGAGCGTTTCCTCTGAGCTGCTGCCTCCCTGAACCCCTGGGGTAGAATATTGTACTTCGGTTGGTTTTTGTTTGATTATTTTTCTGTTATTTGTTCTACTGCAATTAAAGAACTGATGATTTACATGGTGGGGTCCTTTGTGTTTCATGCCTACTCTGTGGAGGAAAAGGTCTCAGCTTGTGCCTGAGGGTATCAGGCTGCTGGTCTCTCCTGTGCCCTGACTGCTTTTCAGAACCCTGCTTTAGGTGATTGCTACCCCTTCCATGCCCAGGGAAAATAAAGTGGGTGGGAGGAACACATGACCTGCTGTGCAGGTGGGATCATCTCCAATGGGCAGTAGTTCTCCGCCTAGAGTGCTGCATGTCCCCACAGCCTGGGAGCAAACCTTTCCAGTCTGCACAGGTCAGCTGGATGAGCTGTGCCAAGGCCTGAGCCTGGGCTGCTCTTGGCTGCTCTGATCTGAGCACCCCTGGGGCAGGAGCTGTGGCAGGAACCATCTGCCTGTTCCACTGCAACGTGGAGCAGGGGGTGGAGTGACAACTCAGAATTGTACTCAAGCTGCCTCCCATTAACTCTTAGGCCAAAAGATTCTAGATGCCTTTCTTCCCACCTCCAGCCTGCCCTTTTTGGTCTTCTGCAGCCCTTGGGTGTTTGACAGTATCAGGCCATCCCTTGGCTTCTGTCGTGTTCCAGATGACAAAGGAGCCTGGGGCATCACCTCTGATTGAGCTGTCCCTTGCACTGAGCTCACGTTGTGTGAGCAGGGTTTGTCACCCTTGGCCACAATGGCCCTTGGGGTTTGTCAGGGAAAAATGACACCAACATCAAGTTCTCTTGCTGCCTGCATGCCAGCTGCCACAGGCACAAAATGGAGTGGATTTTAGCCAGTATCCATCTTCACCAGGGAGGCAGAGCCTACTAGAATCCCTTGCTGCACACCAAGACACTGTATAACACTGTGCTGCCAGTGTGGCAGCTGTGTGGGTGCAGCCTTCTAGGACAGTGCTGGAGCTGAGCTAGCAAATTGTTTAAAAGTAAGATTTCTCTCTGGAAAGGAAGGTTCTGACAAATAATGAATCATTCAAGTGATTTCTATTAAAGTGAATGTTTTGGGGTTTTTTTTTCCCCACTAATGTTTTCTTTAAATTTAAATTAGAAAAGTTATCCTATTGCATCCCATTCCTAACCTGGCAGACAATATGGGTTTTTTGGCTGGGTTTTTTTGTTTGTTTTGTTGTTATTTGGGTTTGTTTATTTGTTTGTTTTTACCAAGAAAAAAAAACACACCACTTTCAATTTCCAGTCTGTCAGCAGATGGTGGCAGCACACATTTGGGGGAATTTGTAGGGCAGGATGAAAAGCTGTGAGGTTGCTCAGGCACTTCCAAAAGCTCAAAGCTAGGAAAGGAGCACAGGTAAAACTGCTGGAAAGCCAAGTGCTCTGAAGTCAGCCCTGCAGGCTCAGCTAACTCACCGCTGTCCCTAGTCTCCTCTGTTTCTCTTGTAACCCTCACCTGAGTCTCCTCACCCTTTCCCTAGCCCTGTTAGGCCTGTTTCTGAACCCTGTAAGCCTACAGCTGGGGTTTTTCACCAGACTTCCCATAGGTACCAGTAGGATAGACCATCCACACCTCAAGTCTCTCCTGGCTCTGCTGTGGGGCCTTGTATTGGTGCCACTGCACAGCACAAAGTGCTACAGCGCTGGTGGCCCCAGCTGGCAGGTACTCAGCAGGCTCTGCACCACTTCTGTAGCCACACCCACTGGGACTGCCCAAGCTGCACCATGCAGGGAACCCAGGAGCCAAACCAGACTTAGGCTAACAGCTCCTCCACCTGCCCACCAGCATAAGCAGCATTCCAAACCTGGCTGTGCTTCCCAGTCATGTGTGCAAGGATCTCCTGTCAGGCCTTGCAGCTTTGGGTCCAACCCTGGTTGATACTTGCCTTGGCAAAGGCAGAGAGAGGCACCTGTGTTTGGAAACACAGCTTTGCTGTCCCTGAGAGACACAGGACACAAGAAAGGTTGGAAGTCTCTCCCCTCCTTCCAGGTATATGGGAAAAAAACACCAAATAAAAAAACCCCACATTTGTGCCCATGGCACTATATGCAGCATATTTTTAATTTAATAAAATAAAAAGAGAAAAAAGTTGCCTTGCAAAAGTACCAAAACCTGCTGGTTTGTCAGCCAGGTTGTGTTGAGGAGAAAAGGATTGACTGGTAAAACCCAGGCTCCTGGGGAAGAACAGCTTTCACTGCTCCATCCCCAGCTCCATGGGGAGCAGGTGCCCACTCATTCCATCCCCTGCTGCCTGTGGAGCAGGAACAAGGCACCGCAAGCAGGCTCTGCCCCATATCCCAGCCCTCCAGGCACAGCAGGGCTCTGGCCAGGTCCTGGGAAAACTAGGGCCAATGCCTCCAGTTGGCAGGAAAAAGAGGGGCTGTTTGTGCTTCTCTGAATGGCAACTGCAAAGCCCAGAAACTGTGGCACTGAGGCACCCCGAGGCAGTGCTGGGGCTTCCAGGCAGCGCAGCCTTTGGCCTGAAACAGCAGCGGATCTAACCAAAAAGCAACCTAGAAGAACTCGGCAAACCTTGGAAACCATACTGGCCAGCTTCAGGCTCTGCATAAAAGTCAGGGCTGAAGGGAGCAAAGAAAAAGTGTCTTGGAGCAAGGGCAAAGAGCTGATAAAATTAAACTGGGAGGTACTGGCTTTCACTGCAGAGTGCCCTCCCAGAGCAGATCCCAGGCCTGGGGTAGGACAGGCTGGGAATCACTCCCTTAGCTGTGCCTGTACTACCTGGAGTCCCTTCTGGGATGGAGGCTGAGAGCTTCCCACCCTTGGGATGGGCTCAACTAGGGACTTGCCTCACCCGGAGGTGTTTCAAAAAGAAACCTAGTGTTTTGTTTGCCCTTTCCTCCTGCCGAGCTTTGTAGTACTTACAGAAATTGAGGAGCATTAGCCAGAGGCAAGACAGTACCAGGGAAAAGAGTTCCCTTGTTCATCAGTGACTTTGGGGAGAAGCCACAAGGCAGAGGTGGGGCAGGTGTACCAGCAGCTCCATGCTGGTATGCCCCTAGGCCTGTGCCTTGGCTGTAAGTCTTTGACCCTATTAAGGCAAATGGAAAGGTTTAGAGCTGCAGCAGCCCAGAGCATTTCCTGGGCTTGTTCCAGCCCCTTCTCCAAGAAAAGCAGGAGGAAAACTGAGTCACCAGTCCTGCCTATCCATACCCCACTGTGCTCCTCAGCAGATTCTGAGAAATCAAGCAAGTACCCTCGACCAGAGGCAGGACAGTGGCTATGGCTTAAATGCCATGGCCTCAGCTTCCTTAGACCTTTTGTACAGGGGTCTCGCCTGGGGGGAGCTTCTTACTGCGCTTCTTCATGCGGCTGCGGGCGTAGACACGGAGAAAGAGGGCCATGAAGACAACAGCTATGCCCAGCCCACCCACCACGGTGACAGTGTGCCCATAGATGAGGCAGGAGAGGAGGATGGCAAAGGCCTGTCGGAGTGTCATGATGATGGTGAAGACAGCTGCCCCAAACTGGTTGATGGTGTAGAAGATGAAGAGCTGGCCGCAGGCAGAGCACACGGAGAGCAACACAGCATGGGCTGTGAACTCTGAGTGGCGGGCCATGAAACGTACCGACTCCAGCAAGGCACCCTGCTCCAGGAGTGAGCCCACTGTGAAAAGGCAGGAGAACACGTTGACGCCAAACATCATCTGCACGGGAGACATCTTGTAGGTGAAGAGAGCATCCTGCCAGTTGGAGGTGAAGCTGTCGAAGATTATGTAGCCAGCCAGGAGGACTACGCCAGAGAAAGTAGTGACAGTGGACACGTGCCTGTTGGGAGCACTGGAGAGCAGGAACATGCTGACCCCCACGGAGATGAGGGCAGCAGTCAGGTACTCCCAGTACTCATAACTCTTGCGCGACACCAGTTTGCCCATCATCATCACTGGGATCACTTTGGAGGCCTTGGCCAGCACTTGGGTGGGGAAGCTGATGTATTTCAGTGCCTCATACTGGCACCAGCTGCTGAGGATGTTGGAGAGGGAAGCAAAGGAGTATTTGTACATGGGAGCCCCATGGCGTGGCTGCTTGGTCAGGGCGCAGTACAGACCGGCCACTGTGAAGGCCAGGATGCGGTTCATGAACACTAGGAACTGAGAGTCCGTGAACTTCTCACCAGGGTCCGTTTCAGTGGCACCATATGTTCTCGTCATCACACGTTCCTGGAGGACACCCCATGTGAGGTAGGAGGCCTGCAAAATGGGGGGAGCAGAAGGAGAGTCAGGATCCACAACAGCAGCTGCCAGCAACCACATGAAGAACAGACCCCAGGAGATCCTTGCTTTCCCCAGTGTTGCCTCATTGCCTCATCGTCTGCACAGCAATACTTCCCTGAGACACTGGGAAATGGGGCCACCCTCCATTCCACCTGTCTGAGGGAACCCACTGTCCATGTGGTTACAACCAGGAATATCCTGTTCCAAAAAAAACCTGCTCAGTGTTGTCCTACTTAGAACAGCTGGGACTAGTTCATCATTGTATGGGTGTAATCCAAAACTGTATTCTATAGCCTTCCATGCCATTTCCCAGAAACTGTTATCCATGAACCAGTTACACTATCTGCCCATAGAGCCTGACTCCTCAGGCTATAAACTGGGTGTTAAGAGGCCTGCGGGATAAAGGAGTGCTCTTGTCCTCATGCCCATTGAGGAACCCCCCCACCGCCCTGAGGGAGGTACTGAGCATTCCTGCCTGAACTGGAAGATATATAATCTTGGAGTCTTGGGACTTTTTTAACCACTCGTGGGATCCAGAGGAAGACTGCAAATCACCGCTCTCAACCAGACTGCAAACACCACTTTTCAAACAGACTGCAACAGCACTCTCACCAACAGGTTTTCCCCTCTCCTTTTACTTTGGACTCAGGGGGCCCAAGGAACACCACTCTGTTCATGCCCCAGGGTGCTGGGTTATACGTTTGGGTTTTGTGGGTTAAAACCAATTGTTTGTCTGTATAATTGTACTTACTGTATTATTTTATTAAATTGTTATTCTGATTTATAATCTCTCTTTTGAGTTGAGTTCATTTCCCCTGCTGGTTTACCTTTAAACCAGCACAGTGTACAGGGGGGAGAAGCCCACAATGCAAACATCCTGGTGGAGAGTGAGCAGTTATGCTTTAAGCTGCTTTAAAGCCTGTGGAACCAGACTGACAGAATCAGGGAGCGTTACCAATACACAGCTGTGGTTTTGGTGCCAGCTCCCTGCGGCAGGTCCTGGCAGTTTTCCCAGTGGCCTCTGCATTGGTTTTCACTTCCAGCTCCCTAGGCCTGGTTTTTCCATCCAAATCAATTCTAATTTCAAACCCAGCAGATGTAATTGTCAGCTAGGGATGACCACTGTTCTGGCCGTCACCTCCACTACTTCTGGTGCATTTCCTGAGAAATTAAGGCACAGAGATGCCTTAATGGTGACCTGCAGCAAGTCTGAATGGGGCAGGAGAGTAGGCCAGAGAGTACCTTCTGCTGGCTGTGGGACACCTGGATTTTTCTATCTTAATGCCCACATTACTATTTTCAGTTCTCACAGACCCAAAAAGCTGCCCTTCCTAATGATGCTCAGGCTGTAACTGAGACTTAGGGAAACTAAGATTTAAAATTCCTGTTTATCTGTAGCTGAAATCAGTATATTCTCTCCAGTATTCAAATTCAATCCATCAAGGCAGGATGCATCAGCCCCAGAGAGTGACCCAGAGGAGAGCCTGGGAGATAAGAGAGTTCAAACTATCTGCTGATTTGACATCAGGAACAAAAGCAGGCCTAACAATCTGCTGAATCACAGAATTTTCGCAGTTTTCCCTATCCATGGCTGTAGAGTACTGCAATCAGATAGACAGGATGCCCCAGCCCAGATGACACAAGCTAAATGGACCTCCACAGCCCTTAGATGTGGACTATCCTGATTGAGAGGCTGTGTTCCAGTCTCCAACCCTGCCCTTGGTCTTCAAGGAACTGACAGTCACAAACTCACCAGCCACCTCCTCCTTCCAGAGTGGGACAGCCACACACACATGCACAGGGCCCTTACCTGTAGACCAGCAGCACAGAAGAGCAGCTTGAAGACCTGTCGGGCTGTGGAGGACTCTGTGGGCTCTGCCCGGGGTGGCAGAGACCCATCCTCCTGGTGTACAGACTTCACCTCAGAGCCAAACACACATGATTTGATGACAGGGAAGCAAATGCCTCGGCCTGAACAGGGTAAGAGAACACAGAGACACAATGATGCTTGGGTCCCTTCCAACTCAGCATATTCCACAATTCTGTAATTAACCACAGCCTGGGCATCACCAGCTGCACCAGCTTAAGAGGTGAAGCCTCCCTCCTTACTAGCCTCCAGATCTGCTGGCACACGGGCCTCAGAGAAATTTGTTTCAGAGTAGCACCTAGACAGCACTGGGATGCAGCTCTGTGAGCGGCTCAAGCCTGGTCTGACAAAGCAGGTTATGGAAACAAACTGAGCGGGGCAGACCAAGGAGGTGCAGAAAGCTCAGAGGGAGGCAGGATGTGGAAGGGAAGCTCCTGTCCTTACCTGTCTCCAAATAGTTCCTTCTCTTGAAGTACTGGATGAGAAGGAATCCCGGCACCACAATACTCGCGTAGCCAGCAGCATTAACAAAGAAGCGGAAGAGCCAGAAGTCCCCCCACGAGTCCTGCAGGGCAGGGGCGATCTCTTCACCAGTAGCCATTGCAGGGAGGGAAGCCAGCACGAGGGGAAGGCAAAATCTGTGGAGAGAGGAAGAGGCAGGTGGCGGGCTACTGGTACATGGGCAGCTCCACTCTGCATGCTTCTAATACCTCCCCACCAGCAGGCAGCACCCAGACCCTACCTCAGCGACAACAGTGATGCTGGCAGCATGTGGAGTAACAAAAGCCCTCAGGAGTTAAAAAGCACAGGCCAGGCATCTATATTCACTTCTGTTAAAGGAGTTTGCTCCGGAACACATGGACTTAGAACGTTGGATTCTCAGGCTTAGAGAGAACACTGCTGTAACCATCTCCTTTTGACAACACTCTTACTTCAAATGCAAGGAGCACCTCATACCTCACACCTCACCTTTATAGGTTAAACTTTAGCACAGCTCTTGGGTGGTAAAAGAAAAGGTCACTGAATGGAAAAATCAATTCCTACCTAGCAGCTCATGTTTCAAGCCTGTGGCCATGAGCAACCTTTGCCTGGGAGCAAATAGTTCAGAGCTTTCCCCTCCAGCTGCACCAGGTGAGTGGAGGAGAAGCAGAGGTTTGGGCTGCCAACCTCCCCCACTTCTCCATGCAGCCCTGGAAGGCAGCATACCAAGGCATTCCCCACAGCTCAGAGGAAATTATGAAACTTCACCCACTTAACAAAACACAGCCAGAAAGGAAGGCTGGAAAGGAACTTTCCTGGCAGCTAGCTGGTTAGAATTTTACCAGGACTATCTAACAAGGTATAGCTGATATTCTTCCGATAACGCTACAGGAAGTGACCAAGCTAGCTTTAAAACAGCTTGAATAGTCCTTGAAGGAGTTCTTCCCTCCACAGAGGCAAACCTCCAATATTCAGGGGCACCAGGTACTCAACAGAATGAGCAACCAGGCAAGAACTTCCTATACCCAAGGCCACCTGCATCCTCCTGTCACACACCAAGCTGCAACTTCCTGCATCAGGGTAGAAGGTCTCCCTGGTCCATGCTCCATCCATGCCCAGTTTCCTCAGTGGAGAAAGCATCTTAATTGCCTTGGGGGCCAGGTAAGTGTGCTGTGGGCTGGCTACATAAATGCACACCAGAAAAACTCTAAGCTCCTGTGACTGAAAGGGCTAGAGATGTTAATTCCTCCTCCCCCAGAAACAAGTGAGTCAGAGGAATTTAGGCCCTGTTTAGGGGTGTACCTGGTTTAAATATTGTATAGCCGTGACCTTTGGTAGCCCTCCCACAAAACTCAGAGATTTACAAACTTAAGAGCTTTAAAGGCGAGTAAGTCCCCTGCCATTTCATGTGCAAGCCCTCCATCCAACTTCTTGTCCCCTTGGGAAAGGCCTCCGGGGCTTTTCTTATCTTCAGCTGCTGCAGCCAGGCCCTTGGAGTCCAACAACCTGATCTAAGCCAAGGCTGTGTTTCACCTAGAAATCTCCCTCCTGTGACTTAAAGGACACAGAAATTCCCAGCCCAGGAAGAAGTGCATGGAGGTGGATTTCTGTGCCTGCTTTCTATTTCCTTCCTGTTCTCCCCCCAAGAAAAGACAGTTTGACGCCTCCACCCCAACTCTCCTGCTGCAGGGGCACCATTGCAGGCTGTACAGGTGCTGTGGGATGCAAGAACACCGCTTGGTACTGGCACCTGGAGTTGAAGCTGCCCACGTGCTCCTGGGCTTGCCTGTATTAAGTAGCCCTGGCTGATGGCAGGGTGCAGAAATGCCATTCGCTTTTGCAGAAGTCAGATATAAATGACAGGGTCGGTTGCTACACTCAAGGGCCACGTCTCCAACTTGACAGAGACCGTAAGCTCCATCAGCACGACTGCTCCTGCTGTTATCCCACCGGCCCCCGCAGCGCTGCCATGGGAGGGGAACCAGCTCCGCTCTCCCACAGCGACTGTGAAGAGGAGGCTATGGAGGGACAATGGCTCTCTCTATGCCTGCGCTAGCAATTCCCAGGCTCCGAGAGCTGACTCAGTGCAGCAGGCCCTGCCCTCCCCGACGAGGCTGGGAAGGAACAGGGACGCCAGTGTTACAGGTAGAAGGCGGGGGGGCGAGCAGGCGGCGTGCGAGGCATGAAAGGAGCCTTAGTCTGGGGCCTGGGGAACAGCCTGGGAGGCGAGACAACAGACCCGGCCGCTGCTCGCCTGGGCACAGGCAGGACAGCTCTGAAAGGCACCGCTTCGGAGCCGGGCTGGCACCCAGCCCCCTGCCTGGGATGCAAAATTTGGGTCCCAGGGAATGAAAAGGATCCCTGCCTACAGCCCTGCTACTCTTGAGCGCGTCTCCAGCGCCTGGAAGGGCTGAGGTCAAATCCAAGCCCGGAGCTGACAAGTCCACGGCCCCTGCTAAGAGCTCGAGGTCTCGTGTCTGCTCTCTGTCCCTGCCCCTGCCCGCAGCC